TGTTACAATATTGCTTCTGTTTTATGTTTTGGTTTTTTGCCTGCCAGGCATGTGGAAATCTTAGCTCCCCGACCAGGGATCGAACCTGCACCCGCTGCATTGGAAGGCAAAGTCTTAACCAGTGGATCAACAGGGAAGTCCCTGCAGTCCACACTGAAGTATCTGGGCAGTGAGCCTCTTGTTAAAAATTGCTGGGTAGATAATCTCATGAACAATTTCAAGCACTGATTAATTTGGAGGAGAGAAAAGAAAGATTGAGATTCTCAAACTCAGGTTTCCATAAAGCAAATCTAGACTATGCTAAAGAGCATGACGTTTTTGCTTTTTAAGAAGACAAACATTTTATCCTGAACACAAAACGTGGAAGGCCCTTGGTCTGGGATTCCCTGTCTAGAGTTCCTTCTAGTCTTTTTTTTTGTAATTTTCCCATTTCTAGTCTCTTTGTTTCTGCCCTTTACCTTCAATCATAATGCAAACCTGCTTCTCATATAGTGAAAGACTCCTTTCCTCACCACACACAGGGCCCAAATGGTAGAAATGAAAGGAAGCTAAAAACCATCAAATACACCCTCCTGGCTTTAAAGATAAGGAAAATGAGGCTCTGAAAGATAAAGTGGCCTTGTTGAGTATAGGGATGGTAAGAATGGAAGCAAGTGGTAGAACTTTATACTCTCATTCACATAGTATTTGATGGTTAACAGAGAGCCAACATACATGTGATCCCATGAAACTTGTGATGTAGATGGTATTATTATGTTCATTTTGTAGGTGAGGAAGCTGAGACCCAGAGAATTCTCCTATAAGGGGAAAGAGCTCATGCTTTTTTATCAGGTCAACTGCCCATGACAAAGCCTAATGACTCTGCAGTACCAAACTCCGCTCTGAAGGGCTGGGCATACGAAGATGAATGACACTGCTTATATGCAGAGTACAACATGAGAAATGCTGGGCTGGATGAAGCACAAGCTGGAATCAAGATTGCCAGGAGAAATATCAATAACCTCAGATATTCAGATGACACCACCCTTATGGCAGAAAGTGAAGAACTAAAGAGCGTCTTGATGAAAGTGAATGAGGAGAGTGAAAAAGTCGGCTTAAAACTCAACATTCAGAAAAATAAGATCATGGCACCCGGTCCCATCACTTCATGGCAAATAGATGGAGAAACAGTAGAAACAGTGGCAGACTCTATTATTTGGGGCTCCAAAATCACTGCAGATGGTGATTGCAGCCATGAAATTAAAAGACACTTACTCCTTGGAAGGAAAGTTATGACCAACCTAGATGGCATATTACAAGGCAAAGACATTACTTTGCCAACAAAAGTCTGTTTCGTCAAGGTTATGTTTCTTCCAGTAGTCATGTACGGATGAGACAGTTGGACCGAAAAGAAAGCTGAGCACCGAAGAATTGATGCTTTTGAACTGTGGTGTTGGAGAAGACTCTTGAGAGTCCATTGAACTGCAAGCAGATCCAGCCAGTCCATCCTAAAAGAAATCAGTCCTGACTGTTCATTTCACTGATGTTGAAGCTGAAACTCCAGTACTTTAGCCACCTGATGCGAAGAGCTGACTCATTTGAAAAGACGCTGATGCTGGGAAAGATTGAAGGTGGGAGGAGAAGGGGACGACAAAGGATGAGATGGTTGGATGGCATCACCGATTCAATGGACATGAGTTGGGTACACTCTGGGAGTTGGTGATGGACAGGGAGGCCTGGCATGCTGTGGTTCATGGGGTCGCAAAGAGTTGGACACTACTAAGCGACTGAACTGAACTGAACTGAACATGCTCACATCTATTAGGAAAAGGCTTTCATTCACCTGCAATGTGGGAAACCTGGGTTCAATTCCTGGGTTGGGAAGATCCCCTGGAGAAGGGAAAGGCTACCCACTCTGGTGTTCTGGCCTGGAGAATTCCATGGACTATATAGTCCATGGGATGGCAAAGAGTCAGACACGGCTGAGCGACTTTCACTTACTTCACTTCATTCAAGGCCACCCACAGGGTATTCTAATGCTGTCAAAAAAAATTACTGAAGCCCTAGAGGGTCTGAGTCCTATAGGGTCATTTGATTCTGTCCTAAACCTGGCTGTGTGGAAACTTTAGAAAGGAAGGGACAGTTCTTCTGCACAGAAATCTATATTAAACTGCACACAGCGAGAGTCTGTGAAATGTGACAAGTAGTAAAGTTGGCTCAAGATTATAGAGAAATTTGGAGTTTAATTGGAAATAGAGGTGAGGTAGGAAGGAATCCACTCCAGTATTCTTGCCTGGGAACTCCCATGGACAGAGCAGCCTGGCAGGCCACAGTCCTTGGGGTCACAAAGGGTCAGACATTACAACAACTAAACAATAACAGCGGGGATGAATAAGGGCTTTCTGGCCTCTTCTTCACCTATCTTGTACTGTCCTTTGTGACTAGTACCCTGCCTTTTCACAGTGGTACTGACAAGAACAAACTCTTTTTGTTTCCCCCTTTATTCTTGCTAAAAGAATCTGATCAATGACTAGATCATACTCTTCATGGATGGTGAAAAAAATCATCTGGAACTTCTGTTTATCTAAGACTAGAGTAGACAAACCACTGCCTGTTTTTGTAGGCTCATGAGCTAAGAATAGTCATCACATTTTAAAAATATCATTTCTTTATTTTTGGTTGTGCTGGGTCTTCGTTGCTACGCACAGGCTTTCTCTCGTTGAGGGGGAGCTACTCTTCGTTGCAGTGAGCAGGCTTCTCATTGCAGTAGCCCCTCTCGTTGCCGAGCACAGACCTGAGGCATGTGAGCTTCAGTAGTTGTGGCTTATGGGCTTAGTTGCCCTGGGGCATGTGGAATCTTCTAGGACTAGGGACCGAACTGGTATCCCTGGCATGGTGAGGTAGATTCTTAACCACTGGACCACCAGGGAAGTCCCTACTTTTTAAAATGGTTGAAAAATCAAAAGGAGAATAATATTTTATGCCATGTGAATACAATATTAAATTGGAATGTCAAAAGGCAATAAAGTGTTACTGGGCTGGCAGGCGCTTTTATTATTTGCATGATGTTCATGGCCTCTTCTGTGCTACAGCAGTGGAGCTTCGTGGTTGCATCAGAGATTATATGGCCCTCGGAGCTTTAAATATAAATGGCAACCCACTCCAATCTTCTTGCCTGGAAAATTCCACGGACAGAGTAGCCTGGTAGGCTACAGTCCATGGGGTCCCAGAGAGCCAGACACGGCTGAGTGTGCATGCACACACATTCAGCCTTTATATATATAACCTTTGTCAGCCCCTCTCTTAGAGCGCTAATCATACTGTTTGAGAATTGATTCTGTTCACATACATCTCCCAAGCTAGACTTTTGAGCTTATGAAAGCCTCCATTTTTCTCAGAATGAGGCTTCATTCCTGGTTGGCTTTCTATAAATGTTTGTAGGATGAAAAGAGGAAATGAATGTATACTGTGAGCATAGGTAAATCAGTTCCCTTTTCTGGGCCTCAATTTCCCCTTTTGTGAAATGAGAGCTTTGGCTGTGGTGAGGTCCCTTCTAGCTGCAACATTCTATTTTTTATATTTAAAAAGCTATAACTAAAAATCAATTTATCACATTTAGTTCATTGAATCTTATTTTCCCCAAATTTGGGTTTTACTTTAGTGACTTCTGATTACTGGTTGGTTTCCCAGGTCTGTCAATATCAGTAAATGGGTGCCTTAACCAGCTAACTTTAGTGGAGTATCTGATGTTAGTGGTGTGGTGTGTACATTGCGTATAACGTGAAAATTCATTGCAAATCAAAACTTCCTTCCTTCAAGTCTGCTTGTCTTGCATGAATCTAATGATATAAACAATATTCTTAGGGCATGGTCACTATTAAGAATCTGGGGACTTCCCTGGTGGTCCAGTGGCTAAGACTTCACACTCCCAACGCAGGGAGCCTGGACAGGGAACTAGATGCCATGTATCACAACAAAGACCCAGCACAGCTGAACAAATAAATAAATATTTTTAAAAAGATTCTGATAAAAAAAAAAAAAGCAGGACTCCCCTAGCAGTCCAGTGGTTAAGATTCCCTGCTTCCACTGTAAGGGGTCTGGGTTCTATTCCTGGTCGGAGAACTAAGATCATGATGCTCAGTGTGACCAAAAAAAAAAAAGAATCTGAATGTGTGGAATCCAGACAGCACACTCTGGATTTATGGCCACTTCTCACCTCCGTCAAGATGTATCTATGTGATAGGCCTAGAAACTAGTTGTCTGCCCTTACTCAGAATTTTTGCGACTTACATAAACTTATTAATTGAAAAGTCCTCCTCTAAACCTCACAAGCACTCAGTTCCAGGCCCTGAGGTGGTGTTTGGTGGACAGCTTCACACAGAGTTAAGGCCTGATGTGTTATTACTGTGATTTCATTTAAATCATTATCCCCGTCTGTTACCTCCCAGAAGGGTCTCTGCCTCTCCCTAACCCACAGTTGTCAAGGGGACAGAATCTTAGAATTGAGACTCAGGAGACACGAGGACGCAGGCTTGCCTGTCACCGGACCTGATGAAAATTTCCTGCATGGAAGTCAAGACGAGCTCTCATGCATTAGGTGCGATTTGCTTTCTGGATTCTTCTGTTTCCCTTTCTACCCTTCCCCCCAGGTTTCTAACACTGCCTGGGCCACTCCTATGAGGCAACAAGCGTGGGAAACACTCAAGCTTTCAGTTCAGTATCTCCTTTCCCTTTCTCTTCTAAACAACCAGCGGTGAGGTAGGGAAGCCCCTAGAATCCGATTAGCCTGAGACCCAGGTTCTCCCAGGTGACTCAGTGGGTAAAGAATCCACCTGCAATGCAGGAGACACAGGAGATGAGGGTTTGATCCCTGGGTCGGGAAGATCACCTCAAGGAGGACATGGCAACCCACTCCAGTATTCTTGCCTGGAGAATCGCATGGACAGAGGAGCCTAGCGGGCTACAATCAGTGGGGTCGCAAAGAGACACGACTCAAGCGACTTGGCAAGTGCGCCAGTCTCCCCACTGCATTGGTGGAGCTGCAGTTCCTCTTATCTGCTAAATGGAGATAATATTAATACTCCTCATCTACCTCCACTAATCATCCAGAATCCCTTAAAGGCAAAGACCATGCATTATTTATTCTTTTTTATCTCACACTCCTCAGTACAGAGCACAAAGCATGGGCCTCACATAAGTAGAATGGAATTGACCTTCCGTCGATTCATGAATGACGGTGAAAGGTGGAGTGTGTGAGCTAAAAGGGACTCAAAGCCCTATCTGTTCAGTGAGAGCAAATGAGAGGCAGATGTACACCGCCTCCCACCTCTGTGCTAAACGGACAGAAAGAGTCAGTATATTCTTTCCAGATGGGTGTCCTTCCTGACCTGGGCTTCAAGATCTGCAACAACACTCCTTGGGACGCCATTGCCATTCAACTCCGTTATTGCTGGAGGGAGAAAAAAAACAAACCTATATACTCTTCCTGAATGCAACTTCCACCTTAGAAACCTAGACCTAGAGAGATGATATCCTTTGGCCAAGGGCACAGAGCTAATCACAGGGTGAGTTCGAGCTGGAATATAGGGGTTCAGGTTCTTCATCCAGTGCTCTGTCCACTGCATATCAGCTAGTTCTAACACAAGTCTCGATGGCTTCAAACCAAGGCGTGAGCACTGGGGGATATTTCTAGCAAGGACACGTGTTTTGTTTTGCTTCCTTTGTTCTTGTTTTGTTTTTTTGGAGATGGGAGAACAATTTAGGAGGCAAGTAAATTATTCAATGCACTTTCACTGACAGCAGGCAAAAGAGCAGAGAGGCAAGGGCCCCCAGAGAGCTAGTTAGATAAAAAGAGGACTCTGCCCAGGCCTTATAGACCTGTAAACAAGTAGTGGAAAAAAAACAGGCTGATAAGTGAGCTAACAGAGATATACTTATCTCTGTTAAGGGTCAGAGGGCATGACCACTCGGCAGTTTGAGAGGTCTAGGAGGGCTTAACTGAGGAAGTAATTCTCCCCAAAAAGAGTCCAAGTACTCCAGAGCAAAGAAGGGAACAGTGGTTGAATCATAGGGAACTGCGTATGCAAGGGCACAAGCTAGGAAGAGCCTATTCATATGGAGAGACTTGCAAAAGTTTGGCGTGAAAGGAATGGTGGATGTGGTGAATTGAAAAGGAGAAAGGAGGGGAATAGGGCAGTGTCAGAAGAGGTTTCTAGAGAGATAAGCAAACACAGCCTGCTTTGAAAGAGTCTACAAAGGCTGATAAGACAGATATGTGTGTGTGTCTATAATTATAGTGCATGATAGAATGATCCAAGGCTTTTCAGAGGATCAAAGGAAGTGCAGGGAACTCAGAGGTGATTTCCCACTGGGGGTTAGAGAGTGTATCACTGATTAGTCAAGCAGGGCTTGAACTGGTCCTTTTGAACTTGGAGGATTCAGGTAGAAGTTAAAGGTCTGCAGTGCAATTACCTACCCAATTGCATTCTCTCTCTCTTATTTATTTATTTTTTCATTTATTTTTATTAGTTGGAGGCTAATTACTTTACAATATTGTAGTGGTTTTTGCCATACATTGACTTGAATTATGCTTACTTCACTCTGTATAATGGGCTCCAGTTTCATCCATCTCATTAGAACTGATTCAAATGAATTCTTTTTGACGGCTGAGTAATATTCCATGGTATATATGTACTCTCTCTCTTATTTTAAAGTGGAGTACGATCGCTTTACAGTGCTGTGTTACTTTCTGCTGTGCAATTAAGTGAATCAACGATATGTACACATATATCCCCCCACTCTGAGACCTGCCCTCCTCACCCCAATCCCACCCATCTAGGTCATCTGGGTTTGACATATTTACACTATCGTGTGTAAAATAGGTAGCCAGTGGGAACCTACAGGATAGCACAGGGAACTCAGCTTGGTGCCCTGTGATGACCCATTTGTATTCTTTTGGATCATATCTTTAACTTAATGGAGCAGATCCTAAACCTCAACACACTGCCCGGCGGGCTGCCCATTCCCCTTATGTAACATCTGGTCTGTTTTGCTCAGCCCTCTATCACCAGTGTCTAGGACAGTGCCTGGCACCTAGGAGGTGCCAAATTAGTATTTGTGGAATCGGTCTTTTCAATGATGTACTTTTACCAGGGCAACTACATATTCTAGATTTTTTCAGAGAGTCCTTAAGATATCCCGTCCCTTAATTGCCATTAGTACAACTGTATCTGTCATGCATCTGTAGTTCTGACTTAGAAAATATGGACACACATGAGAAAGCTTCATTCTCATTTTCAAAACCTTTCCCTGTGCCAGCTGGCGTGCTTGGGAGGAAGGTGGGAAGAGAATGTGGTTTTCTGGAGTGCACACCATTTCTGGGCTGGCGGCCGCAGCCACTCCCTCCTGCGTGGTTGCCTGCCCACATGGTCTCAGAGCAGGGCAACCCCTCTGTCTTGTTCTTTGTCCACGGAACACACAGACTTTGGGAATCGTGGATGCAAGTGGAAAGTATTAGCAACTCGAAAAGGATGTAGCTGGGTGTTTGTGGCCTTATTTGGGTCTTTCCAAACAAGTTTCTGGCTGCTCTACTGGGAGAGAAAAACTTCCACATCTGCAGAGATGAAAGAATATGCTGTTTCACAGGCTTCGCATCTGCTCCACACTCCCCGGAATGTAACATTCAGCGTGCTTGATTCCCACTGCCAAGTGGACCATCATTATCAACCCTATATGTTCCCCTCTCCTGCTTTTCTTTGTTTAGTTTTAGGTTCAGATGTCAACATTACTAGGTGCATGTAGGTTTTTTTTTTTTGAGTTAAGGAAGAGGCTTGCATTATATTCTGACTTTCCACAGCCTATCTCTTCCTCTCTGAAAATTTTAAATCCCTCTTGTACTTAGAAAACAATAGAGAAGGCTGCCTTTCCTTTTTTTTTTAAAGTTTTTAATTTTGTATTGCAGTATAGCCATTAATAAACAATGTGTGATAGTTTCAGGTGAATAGTAAAGGGATTCACCCATCAATATATGTATATCCATTCTCTCTCCAAACTCTTTCCTTCCAGGCTGCCACATAACATTGAGCAAAGTTCCCTGTGCTACACAGTAGGTCCTTCTTGGTTACCCATTTTAAATTTAGAAGTGTGTGCATGTCCACCCCAAATCCTGAACCATCTCTTTCTCCCTAACTATCCCACCCCCCCATCCTTCCCCCTGGCAACCGTAAGTTCATTCTCTAAGTCTATGAGTCTCTTTCTGTTTCATAGGTAAGTTCATTTGTATAATTTCTTTTCAGATTCCATGTATAAGGGATGCCATATGATATTTCTCCTTCTCTGTCTGATTTACTTCACTCAGTGTGACAGTCTCTGGGTCCATCCATGTTGCTGCAAATGACACTATTTCATTCTTTTTAATGTCTGAGTCATATTCATACTTCCCAGGACTTTCCAGGTGGCTCAGATGGTAAAGTGTCTGCCCGCAATGTGGGAGACCCGGGTTAAATATACACACACACACACATATATATATATATCTTTATCTATTCCTCTGACAATGGACAGTTAGGTTGCTTCCATGTCATGACTATTATAAACAGTGCTGCAATTAACAATGGGGTGCAAGTATCATTTTAGGCCGTATTTCTCTCCAGGTATATGCCCAGGAGTGGGACTGTAGGGTCACATGGTAGCTCTGAACTTCCAGGTGGCTCCGTGGTAAAGAACCCGCCAGCCAATGCAGGAGACATAAGAGACACAGGTTCAATCCCTGGGTCTGGAAGATCCTCTGGAGGAGGGCATGGCAACCCACTCCAGCATTCTTGCCTGGAGAATCCCATGGACAGAAGAGCCTGGCGGGCAACAGTCCATAGGATCACAAAGAGTCAGGAATGACTGAAGTGACTTAGCACGCATGCATGCATAGCAGCTCTATTTTTAGTCTTTTAAGGAACCTCCATACTGTTCCCCATAGTGGCTGTATCAATTTGCATACCCACCAGCGGCGTAGGAGGGTTCCCTGGAAATGACTGACTTTCTTAATGGTTTCATCATCCTCCTATTCACCCAAAATAAAAACTTTTAGAGCTATCTCCTCTACTTCTCTCACCACTTCATCCTCAAGCCCTCTTAATTCTGTTCCCAAATTATTCACACATGTATCCCCTCTCGCCCTCAGTCTCTCAATCTGGGTCATTCCTCTTACCTGATCTCCCTAAACTCCAAGATCTCCCAATCAGGCCAGTCTTTGCATTGCTTCCTCAACGACAAATGAAATTGTGACAGCATCCTCCCCTATGACACTCTTCTTCCAAAGCCATGGGCAACTCCTCACCACATAGAGAATAAAATGTAAGATCCTTGGTATAATCAAGATTGTGTTGAGCCTTAATGCTTTCTCAGTCAACCTTTGGAAATGAAAAACGAATAGAAGAAAATTCAATTTATACAATAAACTGGATATATTACATAAAACCTGTTGTCTAAAAATCCACCATAAACGTATATGTGTATATATATCATGTAGATAGATAGACAGACAGGTGTGTATATATACAGACAATGTTACAGCGATTATTTGAGTTACTAGGCAAGCTGACAAAGTCTATTCATTGTGTGATTTTAGACTGACTACTGAGTGTGTGTGTTGTTTTGAAAAATTACTCAGCAATTCGAAGAAATAAAACAGAAAATCCACTAAAATTTAAAGTTATTTTTAAGAAATATAACTTTAAATTTTAGTGGCTCTTCTGTGTGACAAGATGGACAGACAACTCCATTTATCTTCAGAGCTAATGTTGGCTACATGCTTACAGTATGCTAGGTCACGTTCTAAGACCTTTGCAAGCACCAGCCTTAGAAACACACCATGTGCCCTACACATGAATCTTCAGGTTGTGACCTTTCAAAGAGGTGACCGTGGTTTGCATGTCCAACCACGTAAGTTAGTTCATGCGTCTGGCATCCATTGTCAAGTGCGTGCATCCTCTATAAGTGGTTGTGCTTTTGTGTACGTCACTGTAAAGTACGTAGTCCCACACAGTGACTTCAAGCCCAGGATGTACAGAAGCAAGCGTAAAAAGCAGCAGTGACCTGGCTGGTATTGCTAAGAAGGGCCAGCCGTTATACTGTACTACTTCACTTTTCAAGGAACTGCACTGTGAAATTAAAATTGTTTTCTTTATTTTCTTTCTTTATTTAAAACATTTATTTATTTGTCTGTGCCAGGTCTTAGTTGCTGCAGGCGGAATCTTCAGTCTTTGTTGTGGCATGTGAGATCTTCGGGTTTTTTTTTTAAATATTCAGTATTCTCTTCATTTTTTTATGCTAATTCCTTCAGGTCCACGCTTACATTGCTTAGGAGATCCAGTTCAATATAGGTACTACTAAGAATAAATTTTATCAAATATATTGACTGGAGATGTTAGATATACTTCTTTATGCTGGTGTGTTCCACTTTGCCAGACTTAAATATTCAGTCACATTAACTAAATTGCTTTAGGTTCTCCATAACATGAATTGATTTTTTTGTTGATATTATTTTCTAAGCTATTATTCAATTTTGTTATTTATGACTTAGGCGTGTGAGATCTTTAGGTGCAGTATGTGGTTTTATTTTTTGTGTTTGTTTTTTATGTATTATCTGTGTGAAAGTATCATAAACCTATTACAGTACACTACTGTATAGCCAATGGTGGTAGTTGGATTCCTAGGCTAACTTTGTTGAACTTAAAGAACAAATCGGACTTAATGAACAAATAGGATGTACGGACATGCTCTCAAAACAGAACTCATTCCTATGTAGGAGACTGACTGTATTAGTTCTCACACCAATCTTATAAAATAGATATCATCATTTTCTCCATTTAAAAAACAAGGACACAGAGGCACAGGAGAGTTAAATAACTTACCCGAGGTCACACAGGGAGTGGTAAACGTAGGCTTTGAATTGAGGCAGCTTGGCTCCTAAGTCCCTGCTCTGCATGACTCCCCCAGGTTAAGAGCCACTGGAGAATTATCTGGGAGAGTCAAGGCCACTTCACGGGACAGGGTACCCAGCAGGGGTCTAAAGCCATTGGCGAGAGACTGGCTGGGGACAAGGCTGGGATGCCAAGACTGGGGACTGGGAGGATGATGTTTTTTGAGGTCACTTTGGTGCTGGGGATGTTTTGACATTTACACTTACTTCATTTCTATGAAGAGTAAAGTGATTAGTTTTCAACTTAAAAAAGCATCTTTGTATGCTGTGCAGAAGAAACTCAGTCTAATGTCAGGATGAACTGAGGGTCAGAGGGTGGACTCAAGGATGGGGCTGAGTCAGAGATGTGATGGGAGATGATAAAGCTGAGGAACAGGGTAAGGTTGCTAAACACATTCAGAAAAAAGCAAAACAGCTAACTAGCAGAAAGCTGCTAGATAGCACAGGGAGCCCAGCTGGGTGCTCTATGACAACCTAGAGGGGTGGGAAGTGGGGGAGAGAGGGGATATGCATATATAATTATGACTGATTCTCTTTAATGAATGGAAGAGACCACCACAACACTGTAAGGCAATTACCCTCCAATTAAAAAAAAATTCACTGATTTTTTTTTTTTAAGAGATTGGTTGATATTTAGGGTCACAGAATGTCCATGATGTCAAAATGGGCTAAACAAAATGTTCTACTTCAGAGAGTAACTTGCAGAGGAAGAGGTTAAGCAGTAAGTGCTAACCACAGCCTGCCTTGGGCAGAAGCAGAAGGAAGCCCTCTGGCCCAGTGATGGGAGGGAAGCTGCTTTCTGTTCTGGTTGTCAGAGGGGCAAAGAATCAAAACACCACTGTTGCAATGGATGAGTTTACAAAATTACAGGAAGTGTGACACGACTTGAAAGACAAGACACACTGTGGAAACATCGTCAAGCCATACTTTTTGCTTTGGAGTATTTCCCATCTGGAAACTGAGATTTGATGAAATGGCATCACCTCGGGTATTCCCATGGATCAAGATGCATAGAATATTGTGAGAAGATTGGGATATAGAACCAGGTTCAAATCAGGCTCCATCACTTGCCAGCTATGTGTCTAAAGGCAAATTTCAACCTCTCTGATCTCAGCTCCTACACTGATGAAAAGAGAATAATAACCCTACCTAAGTCCCAGGGTTGTTGTTGGCCTTCAGTTGTGATTCAGCTAGTCGGCATTCAGTAAGTATTCATCAAATGGCATTCATCAAATTCATCAAATGGTTAGTGGGATTACCGCTGAGTCTTTGTTTTATTTTTCTGCATTTCTTAAAATTTCATGAACATAAACCGTGTTTGTAATTAGAAATATAAACAATAAAACATTCCTTTTTAAAAGGGACAGGCATCTATATCAATGGTGATCTCTCAATTCATCCCACCCATACGTCAAATAGATGGCTAATGGGAAGCTGCCATTAGCACAGGGAGCTCAGTTCAGTGATCCGTGCCAACCTAGGGGGGTTGGATTGGCTCAGACGGTAAGGAATTTCCCTGCAATGTGGGAGACCAGGGTTTGATCCCTGGTCAGGAATATTCCCTGGAGAAGGGAATGGCAACCCACTCCAGTATTCTTGCCTGGAGAATTTCATGGACAGAGAAGCCGGGTGGGCTAGAGTCCATGCAGTTGCAAAGAGTTAGACACATCTGAGTGACTTACACTTTTTAACATAGCTGATCCATATGGTACAGCAGAAATGAACACAACATTGTAAAACAATTATACTCCAATTACAAATTTTTTTTAAAAAAAAACATGCACCCAGAAAAGGGACAGGCAGTAATTTCCCATATTTTCACATTTGTTTTCCCCACCTTTGTCTCTTTCATGTCTCTTTCTGCTGTGTAAAGCTTGGGTCCTCTGTAGACAGCGATAGTCAGAGGATGCCATGGGGTGCTGGCTACTCTCTAGACTCTGGCAGGGCCTTGCAGGGTCAGGCCCCTGCACTCAGGCCTGCGGCACTGAAATGAGGCTGAGATGAGTGGTAGCTCAGTGCCCACGGGGAGCTCTCTTCTCTCCATTGCGCATAGACCCCTGCAGTTCCCTCATCTGCTACTCAGCTGGATGCTCCCCGCCACCCCCTGCCCTCAGGGAGCTCCATTCTGTGCCTCCTGCTGGTTTCCATTCATTCACCACCAAGGCCTGGAGGCGCTGACACAGGCTGCAGGGGTCCTGCCTGCAGGACCTGTGAGACCAGGGAGCCTGCGGTCAAGTACATTAAACAAAAGAACACTGGCAGGAGACCAGCTTCAACTCTCGAAGCTTCCCCTGGTTCTTTACTTTCTTTTTACAATTTTAGGTTGTGTGGGTCTCACAATTTGCCTTCTGGAGCTGCTTAGCAATAAGAGAGAAGATGGATGTGGGGATGGGAGGCAGCGTAACACCAGTCTCTGAAGTCATCCAGCACCAGGAGGCGTAACCGAGGGCCCAGCTGAGTTCGCAGTGACCCCGTCTGCCCGCCCTCTTGCACGAAGGCCTCATCTCGGGGCAGGGCGGAAGCGGGAGAGCCACAGAGCCAGGATCGCTCTGAGTGTGTGGCTTCTGGGAACACAAGGTGTGGTTCATCGGCTTCCTCTCAAACCCACTCCTGCTGGCCGGCTCCCCTCTCTGCAAACATCATTGCTGTCCACCCCGCTGCCCAAGTAAGAATTCTAGGTGTCTTATTTGACCGCTCCTCCTCCTTTATATCCCACAGCAAATTACACATGCAGCCCTGCTTACTGCTTTAAAACGACTCTCAAATCCATCCACTTCTCTCCATTTCCACTGCTACGAGCTAGCGGAGACAAGCGAACTCTCCTGCCTGTAAAACTGGTATTCACAAATAGGACAGTCGTTTGAATGCCAGGCTACCCCAGATGACAGCTAGAGAGGATAAGCAACGTGCAAAGGTCACGCGGGTGGTCAGTGACTGACAGATCCAGAGGAGAATTCAGACTTCCTGGTCCCAGGTCCAGCCCTGCTGGGGACATGTCCAGGCTCCACGTATGCCTTCATTCGCTCCGCTGGATTGAGACCCTCTTACATGCCAGACTCAGTGAGAGACGCAATCTTTGTCTCTCCGTGGGGGGTGGCCCCCCCTGTTGGATTATGGTTTTCTGCCTGTTAATTTATGTCTTGATCCTGCCTGCTCTGAACAGCAGACAGCAGGACATCTCTCAGGCCCCAGCCGGCCCTCACATTCCAGCATTCCGCAAGTTGGCTTCTGCGCGGTCTACTCAAAATAGCTTCCTAGCCAGTGAAGCCAACAGAAAATACACATGATGAGGCACTTCTTCCAAGGAAAGGACTCTACAGGAGTCCACCACTTAAAGAGAAAGTGTTTGCCTCTGGACCAGCTTTATAATCTATGTGGGAAAGGGGGACAGGAAAGTTGGTCTGGTTCCACTTTTATTCCATAACTCCCTGGGAAATACCCAGGGCACTCAAGATTCCAACTGACTCACTTAGTGCATGTTAATAAAGATATACTAGGTGGCCCAGTGGTAAAGAATCTGCCTGCAATGCTGGAGACGAGGGTTTGGTCCCTGGGTCGGGAAGATCCCCTGGAGAAGGAAATGGCAACCCTCTCCAGTATTCTTGCCTGAAAAATCCCATGGACAGAGGAGCCTGGTGAGCTAGAGTCCATGGGGTCACAAAAGAGACACGATTTAGCAACTAAACAACAACAAACATGTGCCAGCACAGTAACAGGTGCTGGGAGCAAAATGCTGGACCACAGAGAGATGTCCTGTCCTAGGGGGACTGATAAGGTGATGGAATCTGACCTAAGCTATTACTTACCTTCCTTTTAAGTATATTCATTTCTAGATACAACCTTTACAAATTTCAAATACAGGATTATAGAATCATAGATGCGAAGAGACATAGAGGAGATATTTCTTTAGCACAATGTCTTTCTGCCCTGAGTTGAGGTTTAAATCTCTTTTATAATATCCCCATCAAGTGATCATGTGGTCCCTCCTTGGATACCTCCAATAGTAGATGATTTGCTGCCTCTAAGATGATCTATTTTTTTTTTAAGATATTTTATTTATTTTTTGGCCACTCCATGCAGTATGCAGGATCTTAGTTCCCCAGCCAGGGATTAAACCTGTGTCCCTGCAGTGGAAGTGTGGAGTCTTAACCACCGAAACACCAGAGAAATTCTTAAGGTGATCTATTCTATTTCTAAATAGCAGAGGAAGTTAGAAATCTCTTCTGTTTGTTGAACCAAGATCCGTTTCCCTAAAATTCATCCTGCGTTCTGCCCTCTGAGCCTACACAGGTCAAGACAGTGTCTTCTGCTCTAAGGTGCCTCTGGGGTACATGAGCATGGTTATAATGTACCCCCAAGCATTCTCTTCTCCAGACCGAATGTCACCACTTGATTCCATTTTTCCCCCTACACGTGGTTTTGAACTCTTTCTCTAGTCTAGTGGCCAACAGAGCTACTCTCTCCCACTCTCTGGAAACACGGAAAGACTCTTCATGTAAACAATATGATCCTCCTTGATTCTCCCATATTCTCCCATGTGACCATAGAGCAAATGTCTCCTATCCCTGCAGTAGCCCCCTCACAAGCATAGCTCTGTAGATAGCTTTGAAACAAAGCAGGTCAACTTTATTATTCATGAACTAGAGCTAATAATATTGAACTTTCAGGGTTGTTGTAGATATTAAAAGAGATATGAATGATGAGTTAAATGCTTCAACAAATTTTGGCCGAACAGCCATCATGTACCAGGCACTGCTGGGCTCTGGGTAGATACAATCCTGAAGAATACAGAAAAGACCTCCTCCCTGATGAAGCTTACAGCCTTGAACCTAAGGATAAGCAGCTCTCCAAGGATCACAGAGTTTGAGCTGAAGTCTAGGGTTCCCTAGGACCTAAGCTTGAAGCTCAAAATCATACCCACTGTTAAGAGTATCACCATGAACATAGATGCAACCAAATTAATGCCAACTAAGCCTTTAGTGATACAATTTCCTTATGAGACGACTGCTTTTAGAAACAGAAGACCATAGTGGTATTTCTTATGAATAATAACCATTATATCATAAGTTGTCTCATTTTCTCCTTCTAGAAACCCCATTTCCCATAAATCAAGGCGTATTATAATACATGAACCAAGTTAGTTTCCATGCAGTTTGTTTCTTCAAACCTTCATCTCTTTCCTAACTTGGTTAAACCAAATGAGAAACTCTAGCGCATAACAGCAACTTCACTGAGGAAGAGGTGCTTGCAGTTAAGTACCATGCTGAGACTCCTCTCCTCTGCCCAGCTGTGTGCTAGGGCAGTTATTCTGTCCATGAAGTTGTCATCAGCCACCATCTTATTCAGCAGGTTACGGACAACAGGACGTGCTTCTGACATCAAGGAGACTTTCGGCTTTTATGCAGCTGTGTCTTGGCTTCCTCATTATTTCACACCACAGTTTCAAAAGTGTTTGGTCAAGGAACTGATAGAAATGGAAGAGTCATTTACTGCAAAACCCATAGTCTCTTTGCTCAGTTAAAACCACTGATCTTCCTGTTTCTCTGTTACCGTCAGATAAGTCACCATCTTGGGTGGGGTGGCCTGTGGGGTGTGGGGGGAAGGAATGTCATGACTTGTGTCAGAAGAACAGAAAATATTTAGCAGAATATTTTGCATATCAGAGAAGATGCTTTGTGACCACCATGCTGAGAGTTAAGACTTGAGATCTCATTAAGATCTCAAGATGAGATCTTAAGAGTTAAGATGAGAGTTAAGATCTCATTCATTAAGCCCCTTCCACTGACCCTGTATGCTGACAAAATTTTCAAATACTATCTATGTCTTGGTGTATTAATCATCAAAATATTTACAATGGCTAAGGGAGCTGCTTTGTTACTATGAAACCCTGACCCAGGCAGGTCGTTTACGAATGGTTTAGCACCAAGTACCCCATGAACATGCTGCACGTAGCAGGTGAGGGGGCGGCCACCTTTCCTGCTACACCCTGTGTCCCAGGAGGAAGGGATTCGGGGCGGTGGCCCAGCGGTGGCCCAGAGGGTCAGCGGGGGACCGGCTATCCAAGGCCAACCAAGACTCCCGCAGCGCTGCCGTGTCGTTCCGCCTGGGCAGGATTCTGACTTAGAGTCACTTAGTCATAATCCCACAGATGGTAGCTTCGCCCCATTGGCTCCTCAGCCAAGCACATACACCAAATGCCTGAACCTGCGGTTCTTCTTGTACTGAGCAGGATTACCATGACGACAACACATTACCAGTAGGGTAAGCGTAACCTGTCTCAGGACGGTCCAAACCCAGCTCACGTTCCCTATTAGGGGGTGAACAAGTCAACGCTTGGTGAATTCTGCTTCACAATGATAGGAAGAGCTGACATCAAAGGATCAAAAAATCCCTTAGAAGAAAAGGAGTAGCCCTCATAGTCAACAAAAGAGTCTGAAGTGCAGTACTTGGATGCAATCTCAAAAACGACGGAATGATCGCTGTTTGTTTCCAAGGCAAACCATTCAGTATCACAATAATCCAAGTCTATGCCC